AAAAGCTTGCATGAGGATGCTGCAATTTAATCACAAATACGCATGCATGATTGGGACCATCAAACAACATTTATTCACGTACTTATCTCTTAAAAGCATCTATAAAAACCTCACACACCTCTTAAATTAATAATGTTTATTTCCATTAAACCAAGACAAATTTTCCAAATTAACACAAGCGACGACAGGCAGCGCCGCGGACGCCTCTCTCTGCCGGGGTCCTACCGCGGCCGCCATCTTGAGAGTGGCCCCCGTCCCATCCCCGCTCCGCTGCGGCCCGGGGAAATGCAGGAAAACACAAATGCATGGAGGAAGAAAGAACAATCCCCAGAGGTGCCTGAGCCATCGCCCTGCCCGCAGCCCAGGAGCAGCCAGAAGGAGGAGGCAGCTGCTCTCTCTGCCGGAAAGGTGAGAGGTGCGGAAGGATGAGGGGTGTGAGGGGACGCTTTGGCGGGCAGGGCATCCCAGGGACAATTCCGGCTCCTGCTCCCAGCTCTCCCTCAGTGCTGCACGGAATCCGGGCTGAGCCAGCTGGGAGCGGTCCCCGGGAGCTGCTGCTGCCCAAGGGACAACCGGCAGCAGCCTGGTGTCCTCTGCAGCGCTGGCAGCCGAGTGCGGTTTTGTATCGGATTTGTAGAAAAGCCGCTGTTCAAGCTGGGGGCGCTCGGTGCCCTGGGTGGGAAAGTCCTTGAGGAAGCCAAGCTGGGCAGCTGCTGAGAATTCCGAGCGTCGCGTCCCCGTGATTCTTGATACGATTTTTAAATAGTTACTGTCGAGTTGAGACAGTATCAAGTGGATTTGTTGGAGTGGCAGAAATGTTTTTTTTTGCCTGGAAGTGTGTTGGGATAGGCAGCCTTCATTCGTGTCGGAATGAATCGGTCTTCCTTCTTTTCTCTTTCCTTCTTTCGGGATTGCGGGGCATTGGGGAGAATATTTGGCACAGCGAAATGAAAAGCACGAGGGAAGCTCCACGTTTAGGCACCTGCAGCTTCTGAAGAAATGAATTTCACTCATTGTTGTAGACATTAGCAGAAAATTTGGAACTCGAACTGATTCTAAAATACAAGAATTCTGTACTTTGTTATTGCTGTTCATTATTGTCTAAAATATTTTAGATTAGATAATTTTTTATTGAATTATTTTGAATTTTTTGCTCAGGTTATTACTAAACTCAAGATCTTAACACCACTAGAAATAATGATGTCAAACACTGCTTGTGATGCAGGGAATACAACAGAGTCGTTCACTATGATAACAGAGCATTTCAAGGTAAAATTTAAATGTCATTCAATGTTTTAGAGCTTTTGTTTTTGCTTCATGCCTACAGAGCTGATGGCTTCTACCTGCTGAGCTCTCTCCTCTTTTTCTCACGTGTCCATCAAATCACTTGTGCATCACACACCTGCAGTTCCATTGACCTGCTTGTGTTGGCAGGCTGGAATGAACATTTCTATGAGGACAGATCACAGAATCAGTGGAGAGATTTCTTGGAAACGTGTATCACTGGAAAAATAAAGAAGTCTCACTGATGTAACTTTTAAAGTTACTTGCTTTCATCCCTGTCTTCACAGAATGTGACTTTTACCAACTTTTCCAGAGAAAATACTTCAATGAAACGAAGGGTTTGGAGTACATGGAACAATTGTGTGCATCTGAATTTAGCACCATTTTCATGGAAGTCCAATCCAAGTATGTTGGAATAAGGAAAAGCATACTGTGTCCAGGTAAGATTTTAACCAAATCATTTAATGTACTTGTCACATAGAAGATTTCAGGTTTCTAAAACTGTTTAACTGTGCAGTCAGTGTAAATATTATGGATGGCTTATTCTACAGAGATGCAACCACCCTTAAGTGTGAAACCCTGGCATACATAACATGTCAAAGCCATAAAGATGGAACTAATACTTACAAATTATAAGCATGTTGCTTAGCTCCTGTATTGACTGAAATATGTTCTTTAAAAGATTAAAAGCAAAAATTATTTCTCTTTTGGACTTTTAAGTAGATTTTAAGTTCTTTTCAGAAATGTATTTCAAGTAAATTGTTCTGATTAGTATTTGATCTCTGATTGTAACTTGATATTTTGCCTCCTTGTGTAGGGTTGGCTTGTTCATTTTTAATTAGTTTAATGGAGGGGGAAAATGTGAACTTTACCACTGCAATAGCAATGGAATACTACTACAAAATATGAATTAAATACTAAGTACAAAT